CGGGCACGTATTATATATATCCCGTATATTTTTTATCTATTCATGTATATAATAATAATCCTCGCTAAATAGCCTTAAAATTATGCACTCTGTGCATCGCACGGGCTCTACACTAGTTTTATATATTGAATACTAGGACAACGCCCGTGTATTACACGGGTGCTTGCTAATTTTTTTCTTAAAATATAAAATTAATGAGAAAAAATAGTTGAAAATCTAAATACATTTTATTATAAAAATATATATTATTATATATTTAGTATAACATTTTTTATTTGTGCCACGTTTTTGTGTTATATTATAATAATTTTTTTAACTTCAACATATAACTATATTAAACGACAATTTTATTTTTCTAATGAATTTTATTAAATATTATTATTTTTATTATTATAAAGATAAATAGCATCTATTTATTTCATATATACAATATGGATGTCAAATCGAAGATCATCAAAAGATTATTAATTTGATATATTATATATGTAAAACCGATAAGAAAATACAAAAGTTATCAACTTTTAAAATACATTACAATTCAATAGCTAATTGAAGGAAACAAATCAAATGTCAGGGATATATTAGTCACTTATTGCCTCACTATGTTAAATTACAAAGAATTAAAGGGTTATAATAGTACAAGTGATATTAAAATACCTAAGTTAGCTAAATAATATTTATGGAATGTCTGAACCTAGATTATTAATTATTAATATATCAATATTTTTTCCAAACCTAATTACGAAACATGATTTTTCACCAAGTAGGATTCCAAAGCACCAAAATCAGCCACGTAGGCTCAGCGTATTCGGAAATTATATATAAGGAGGATGCTTGTAATTTGCCATTGAAAACAAAATTTCATCAACAATGTTTATTTTATTCAACTTTAAACTGTCATTTGACTGTCATTGATACATTCATTATCCAGCAAGCACCAATGTATAGAACAACAACCATTGCAAAAACAAAGACAAAAGAAGCAACACCATTGTACACATTCCGCTCAATCCACCAAGCAAGATACCAAATCAAAA